ATATATCATGGACTGCTAGGAGAACAAAAGAAGAAACAGGTATGTCCCGGAGAGGGTGAAGCTGGGCTGCTCCTTGGAGTTAAGAATTCTGAATCTTTGTCTGACATATTTTGGGCATGCTGCAAGGAGGGACCAGTCCTTGGAGAATGACATGACGTTTGGGAGAGAGGAGGGACAGCGCAGGAGAGGAAGACCTTCCATGAGATGGATAGATTCAATGATTGGGGTAATGGGAGTAGGTGTGTCGGAGACACTGAGGTTGGCACAGGATAGAGCAGGGTTTAGGGCTCTTGTACAAAGGGTCACTACGACTTGTAAGTGACTCGACAGCACATAACAACAACAACAGCAATCTCAAATATATTCCCCAAATGAAGAAATGAGGTTACATATGCAAAGCATTTAATGCTGGGTCTAGGACAAAGAAAACCTTAGAAAACGGCACTAATAATATTTTCATAGTCATTTTATTTATATAATTTTTCACTTCTTAGGGAAAGTTTATCTTGAATGTTATAGTTGTTGCTCACCTCCCCCTCATCCGCTGCCCCCCCATCAGAGGAAGGTTGGTAATTTATTTGTAAAACTTTAGGTTACATGTTGATAAATTACCTCGTCCACTCATTTACATTTTTAATTATTATTAGCTGAAATTTCTGGATGCTTTACCAACTTTTAGACCCTATCGCCCTGGTTTAGGATTGCAAATTCAGTTATTCTGTATTTTTGGCTCAGGAAAATGCTGAGCTGTTTTTAAATTTTCTTTTTCCTTCCTTGTCTCTCACCCCTAAATACATATGTAGGTCTTCCATAGGGCATTTTTGTTTGAAAACCCACTGCAGGATAATCTATGGGTCACTCCTGACTTGATGGCACATAACCACTAACTACAAATATACTGTTAAAGGCAGTATGTGAGTGAGGAAGAGAAGGCAGCTTTCTGGACAACCTAAGGGTCTAAACCACCGGTCTATAAGTGGCACACTTCCAACGATCTGTATGCCCTTCGTAATTAAGAGCAGATTATCAGCATGTTCTGCCATGTGTTGACTGTTCCCCCTTCCCTCAATGTCATGTGATGAAGAAAATGGCACTGGGTCTGTCTGCAAAATGACTGTCAATATATACCATGTATTCCACAAATCACTTTAAGATCCAGTCAGTTTAATATAAAATGTTTTTAATTGGTTTTGAAAACATTTAAAAAACAATTTTTGAGCACTTTCAATAAAAAAAGAGAACTGAAATGCTACCGCAATATTCAACTACTGTAGTATCAGCAGGTACAACAACAGACAACAGAACACGGGGGAATCTGACTTTTTGCACTAAATGAAAACATGAAACAGGGCTTGTTTTTGTCATTTATGGTGTAGTAAAGCACATTATAGTACAAGACTATTATATGAACCTCAGATGCACTGCACAAAAACCACTTTCCTTCTTTTTTTTCAGTTCAAAAGTCAGTGCTTATTGCAATTATATGCAAATTTATTTACTTCATGAAATCTTATCATGATAAACATTATGCAAAATGTTTTAAACATCAAAACAATGAAAATATTCTGAGAAAAGAACATATTCAACAATAACTAAGTAGAATTAGTAAAACATAGGAAAGTAAATAACTTGTGAATAACTATGCTTGCCTGGTTAACCTGGAACCAGTTTCAGTACAGCCAAGAAAAAAAAAAGTGGTTACAGGAATACCTAGTACTGTACAAGTCAATAACACTCATGCACATTTTGTGATCATGTATTAACATGGTGAAGCAAACTAAACTTAATTCTTCCTGCTGTAATATTCTCATGTAAGAGAATAAGAAATAGAAATATCTCATTGAGATCAATGCACATTGCTACATAAGACAATTTTATCTGTCACTTTGATGACATTTTGTCTTTTAATAATGAAACACATTTTAAAAAGTTTAATCTGTGGATTGTATTGGTTGCATTTATCCTAAAAGATGTGCCTACCACAGGTTCAACAAATTTAGTGCAATATATGAACCCCAGAAAGTTTGTTGGACGAATTCAACCAAATTTAAAGTGTTTGCTGCAATACTGTACAGGAGGTTAAAAATCTCCCAGTCTTTATATTTTTATCAAAAAAGATTTCCATTATTTTTATATTAGTAGGAAGCTAATAATGTAAACAAGGGATTAGAATGGCCTCAAAATCTCCGTTTCAGAGTATCTCATATAGAAAGGCTCCCATCATTTGTTAAGAGAAATCACAGTTTCCTTTGGGGATTGCATACTTTGGTGTGCAGTAGTGCTGTGTCTCAATGGACAGTGAAGAAGTAACTAGCATCAAGGAAAAGTATCTAAGAGTATTAAATCAAGATAACAGCAAACACACACAAATGCCAAGAACTAGGACGTATCAATATATAAACTTCTGAGTCAACCCTAGCACCATTTATTTATCAAAATGTTGATACTCTACCTTGCAAATTTATTGAACAGTGAAACGTTATTAAATTAAACCCTTCATCATATCTGTTAAATAGTCATTGATTGTAGTCTTCTGATTGACTTACTAATTAAGGTAAAGGAAAGCTTAGCAAGGTCCCAGGTTGCTGAACAATGGTCTCAGGTTAGCTCTATAAACTTAGGGAGTTTTCAAGTCTCTTTGAGAGTGATCTTGAAACTCACTAAATAGAGCTGTCAACAAGTGAGCAGGGTTTTGTCAACATGAAATTCATATATAATTATTCATAAAATATAATGGGAGCAGCAACAACAACAAAACAAAAACAAAACAAAGTTGGGAGCTATATAGAGAACATTTTAAAACAAATCCTGAGTGCTTGTTTTGCAATTGTGGTTATCACAATAAATAAATTAAGCATGTAATAAAATGCTCCTCTTCTTCAAGTACTATTGATATCCCCTTTATTTATTCAGAGATATAAAAGATTTGTGGCTTCAGACCTTAGGTGGTAAAATATTTTTGCCTAGTTTTTGTTCTCTCTCCTGCTTATTTGATTTCTAAAGGGATCCCATGATCAGACTGCATGACTTATGTTCAGGAGGAGTAAAAGAGTCACTAAATTATAGAGGAAAAAAATGATTATAAAACAATATTGTAACTAAAAAATTGAAAAACTATTAAGTAGAATTTTAACGTGTGCATGTAGTTACCGTGATGAAAACTGAGAAAATATTTGCATTTTCCATTTAGTTTCCCTATCTCAACTACCAAACAATAAAACATGAAACACTTCCCTAACATGCTTGTATTTATGAAATTTGAGCACTTGAATTTAATTTTGTTTCATGTATGTGTCTATTAGCTAAAATTAACATTTCAAAAGAAGCTCAATGCAAGGTCACACATATTAAGTGGCTACTAGCTTTTCTTTTTTAAGATTTTTCCATGTAGCTTTTGCTTTCCTGAAATGAATACTTAATTTTCCATTATTTTGTCCTATTTAAGCCCTTCATTGTAGATATAAATGGTACTGAAGCCCCAGAAAGTCCTATAGAGATTTTCATTCTACAGTAGCTTTATGCTTCAAGCCTAAATATTTGTAACCTGAATATTATCCCTGTTTTAAGGAAGACCTTCTTGTCTGCAGTTCACCTCAGCTATGATTTCACAACTAAAATACCGACAACAAAAAAAATAACCTATGCCTAAATTCAATGGTTCCTTCTAAGTTCTGTGCAGATCAAAAGATGAATAAAAATCAACTTATACAAAATAAAAATCTAGACTGCTCTTGTGAAAGCTGGTTAGTTAACTAGCTAACAATGTGATTAAATGGGGAACATTACAAAATTGAAAACCTAATACTGGTTCTTCTACAGACTACTGTCTTCAGAAACCTGTTAAGAACTGAGGCAAGTCTAACCATTTCCTACTGAAGAAGAAACCACTTCTGCAGCAAACTCTTAAAATGTCACAATTAATAGTAAGTGTTTCTGCTGCGGAGGCACTTCCATTAAGACAAATACAATACATATGTCTTTAGATACAGTGTGCTACATATTATAAAACACAAATCAACCCAACATTTCAACAGTAGGATGGTCCTTGCTTTCTATCCAGTCAAAACCTGATGAAGTCATGGAGTTCATGGATTCATTGCAAATTTGCTGAAATAACGGGTCATTCTTTAATTCTTCCAGTGTAGCTTCATCATCTTGTCCCTGCTGACGACCTGGATCAAACAGTAGAGTTGGATCTAACGTGTTCAAATCATTGATGCTGCCTGAGAGCTCAGAAGACAATCTGATGTCGTTAGAGAAATCAGACGCAGTATTAGTGAGATCAGATGCTACCTGACCTACCAGTTGCTGGTTGGTTTGCAAGCTGTCTCCACTCAACAGGTCTTTAACAGTGCTATTGAAATCTAATTGTTGCTCTCCAATTTCTGATTGTGCTTGATTATCTCCAGGAGAAAAGTTGATCTGATCGGTGCTATTACTTTTGGTGAGGTAAGATGGTGTTTGGAATTCATAGACAGAAGTGCTGGAATCAATCATATTCTGCGGGTTGGCACTAGGGAAACCAGTGGAAGTTTCTAAAATCTGAGTGAGATTCATCCGGGCTGTGTAGTTGGAGGGCAAGTTGTTCATCCCCAAACCCCTCACTGCATCATCGTTGTCAGAATCAAGTTTACTCAACAAAACATTGGTTATCTTTTTACTGTTTGTTTGCTTCTGAAGCGCATTTGGGAAGGCTGTTTGCATCATGACTGTCAAAGGAACAGACTGACTTCTTTGAGCGATGTTATTGGCACATGTGTCTGTGTGAGAATTAGTGAAAACATGAACTTCTGGGGTTACTGGACTTCCAAAGGGGGCCACATTAGATCGTGGAATATTAGATACTGGATAGAGAGTGCTTCCACTAAGATTTCGTTGGCGATGAACAGCAGGGCTTACACTCCGGCATCTGAAGTTGCTGCTGGTAGACAAATTAGTTCCTTTATTATCAAGAGGGGCAGGGACTGCAAAACCCTCCTGTTTGTTGGTGTTATTTACAGTGGCACCCTGATGCTGCACAGGAGAGACAGGAGTCAAACGACCAAAATGACTGTCATGATATCTGGATTGAGACTGGTAAGACTGTCCAGGCACAGCAAAAGCGTGAGGTTTCCTGAACCGGTCTTCCACCAGTTCCTGATAGCTTGGGAGAATGCCATGACTGGAAACTGATGAATTACTAACCCCACCATACCCATTATTCATCCATTCAAGCTTGGTTTTGTCGGGGTGGGTAGCCATGGGTCTTTGCATTGGTTTCACAGGACTGCTTGAGACAATGCTGGCATCATGATAGGCCATACTAGAGCTTATTGGAGTAAATGCAAATGGATTCCTGCATTCAACAGGGCTGGGAGGGACACTACTGCTGCAGTTAGAATGTGGAGTACCAATAGGTGTATGTCGGCTACTTCCTAAAGCACTGTCCACAGGTGTAGTCTGGGCTAGCCTGGAGCATGGGCTCTCCCGTGATAGACCCTGAGACCCAGCAATCATTTCCGATGTTGGGGTGGGGGTAGGAGTAGGGGTTGGGGTAGGAGTAGGGGTGGGTGTGGGGGTGTGGACTGGAGTGCCATTACTATGGATTGGATGATAGAAGTGAGTGCTGGAGGCATGAGATGACATTGGAGCTCCTGGAGTTACCGACTGACTCTGAAGGGTCATTCCTAAACAGTTACCATAAGAATGAGAATTGTTCATTGACATCTGCTGCTCCATAAGCACGAGCTCTTCAACAATACTATCCTGTGTAAGTTCATCATCAAAAGGAAAGTAGCTTTCGTTTGTCTGAGAAACAGAAGACTCAAACTCCTTCAGTTCGGACTGCAGAGGTAACTGATCTGAAGTCTGTGCTTGCATTTGATTCAAAGATGATTCTTGGATCTGGCTATGTAGCTGCTGGCTATATGTGTCCGGTGGCATTCCTTCTAATTCCCAAACAGATTTCTCTAAATCATTGATATCAGAGTGCTCAGGAATTGTCATAACACTGATATCTTGCTGTTGTTCACAGTTGGCAGATATAAACTCAGAATCCTTAGTGACCTGTTGCCATTCATTGGGATTAAAGCTGCCATTTGATTTTGAATCACTGTCCAAGAGAAAGACACTCCCTTCAAGTTTTACTTTTATATCCGGAGATGATGATGGTGTTGTTGGAGGTTCCAAAGCTGAGTCACTGGAAGCAAGAGCAGAAGAATTCAAGGGTTGACTTGCCACTACGTGTGAATTGATTGATCCTTTGCTAGGAATCTGAGCACCTGCTGTAGAGCTTTCAGTTTTCCCTGAATGTGGAACCTTTTGGTCCTTCTTAACACTGCCTGGTTTCTGACCTTCTATGTTTACTGCAGAAAGCTGTTCCACAATTGGTTTCTTTACAGGAGGCACCTGCGACTCTTGTAATGTAGAAGAGAGTCGCTTTCTTGGACTTTTAGTGCATAATTTAGGATCTTTATTTATTGAATCACCATTAGATGGTGAGCTGGTGCTGGTGAAAGTTAAGTTCTGAGCGGCAACTGAGAGAGTGACAGTGCTTTGATTATTGCCGGGTGAAGTGGCTGGCAGATTTTCATTACAGCGACTTTTACATTTGGTCCTCTGGTCACAGGCTTTAGTTGCTTTTATTTCAATGATCCCTTCATGTGAAGGTTTTTGTACTACGCCATCAGTATTACTTTTCTGCCCCAAAAGAGCACTAGGTGGTGTTTTAGGAGCTTTAGTCCCATCAGAGTTGTCTTGGCACTGGGCAGGATGTTCATCTGATGATATTTCAGGTTCCATTTTAACTTCCACAGCAGAAGATCCCCCAGCACTGCTGGTCCTTGACCCAGGAGACTGAAGTGAAACCACAGAACCATTCTTGATCTGTGGAACAGGCCTTGATTCTTCTGTAGTTCCTGTAGCACTGTTTACTGAGGCAGAATGTTTAAGAGGAGCACTACTGTTGCTGGGTGTGAGAGATATTGCTGTCATTTTCACCACATTCAAAGAACTCATGTGTGAAGCAGGCACAACAGCAGTTTTAATGGGACTGCTAGTAAAGAGGACAGTAGTTGGAGAGCGGATGGTGAGTGCACTGGTGTTGGCTGGTTTGGGTAAGATCTGAGGGTAACGGTGTCGAGCTGAACGATCCCCCCCAGGACTTGCTGGGACATTCTGAGGAGTCTTTGGTGCCTGTTTCACAGACTGCATGTGCTGAGTGACCACCTGTACGTTGAGGGGAAGAACTTTGCCATCAGAAGAACTCACTGGACCTGGAGAAGTTACCAACTGCCTGGTCCGCTGGACCTGTGAAAAAAGGTTCGGAAAATCAGATTTAACCAATCCAAGATATAAATAGTAATTTACACATCTGTAGAGTAGTCAGGCATTTTAAAGAGAACCAAAATAAGGCAATTTCTATGTTAAAATAGAGTTCTCTGAACTGTGCTTATATAATTAGACACAAATTTTTAAGAAAGGCAATCACAATGCAATATAGCTATAAGATAAAAAAACAATAAATACATGAACACTTGTCAGTTAACAATATCAAAGTCTTTATGCCTGCTAAAACAAAAACTTTTAAAGAGGTTATAGCAAGAGGAGATAAAATATGAAGGAGCTTGTTATCAATAAAAGTATCTAGGTGACTCACTCCTAGAGGAGCATGACTTATAACTAGATCACCTTGGACTTTGGTTTCCAAGTGGCACAGTTTGTGCTTGACTAACCTACTAAATCTACTCAGCAATACTTTGGAAAAAAAGGCTTGGTGATATGCTCCCAATAGAATTACTGTAAAGAAAACACTATGGAGTAGTTGTACTTGGCAGCACATGAGGGAAAGTACTAAGTCAAAACTCAGTGGCAACTAATAACGGTAATACTTTGGCTTTTAGGATCTAAACCACTATGGATAAGATTCCAGGAAGATCTGCCTTGTCCTCAAGTTTGCTCTATTGTGAAGAGTGTCAGAATGAACTTACAGGGTGTTGCACGTTTTAATCACATGATCATAATGATGATAAGAAAAATGTTGCCCAACAATAATGACACAAAGTACCGCCTTAACTTGAGAATAATAATCTTGTTTTAAAAGTTCATTTATCTAACTTTGGTTGGGAGACACAGGAAAGGGAGATCCTATCAACCTCTACTTGAGTAAAAGAAATAAAGCAGGAAAAGTTAAGGAGCACACCCAAGGCCCTATCTCCAGCAAACCTGAGCCAAGTCCACATAAAAGTACTCACAAAACACATCACAATTTAACTCCATCTGAATATTTAAAAAAGAGGGAAAATGTATAAACCAAAAAAGTTTTTGACTGTGTCATTTTGGCTCAGCTAGAGATGAAATAATGCAAAATGACTCACCCCTTACGTAAACTCTGACCTGTTATGTGCACACTTTATCTTGAATCTTTCTATGTTTACTTATGTTCATTTTATAGCTCACTTTGCAATCAATAACATATATTCTAAACCGAAGACAACTTGAGAAAAGTGAAAATGTCTATGGTCATAAAATAAGTTTATAATTCTATCTTAACAGCTACACCAGCCTCTTTCCTTTTTACCATTTTTAGTTAAATGATTGATTTATGATCATCCTTTTAAAGCCAAACAACATTTAATGAAATTACCGGTATGGGACTGGGGACAGCTGCCACAACGATACCAATTGGCTGAGGAGAAAGAATTGCAGGATTTCCATTGGAAAGATTAGTGACTCCGTTAGTTGTAGCGCCTTCTGATTTTTTTGCTGAGGATTCTCCTGGCAAAGGAGACTGTAGTTTCTGTTCTTGCTGCTTTTTTTGGATTTTCCGTTGCAACTGCTGTTTAGCATCAATAGGAGATGGCAAAGTCTTCATCTGAGGCTGAAAGGTATTACTTTCAGCTGTAGGTATAAATGCAGAAGGCTGGGTAAGACCTTTAATTCCTGAAAATAAACAGAAAGAAATAGGAAAAGATATTGTTTTCTTTATAGAAGGTAGCCAAAGCTCAATTTCTTTGAATATGTAGCCATCTATTGGACAAAGCAAACAAAATGATAACTTTTAATTCATGATTTCTTTGTAAAACATACAATTAAGCTTCCAATAGATATATTATCTGTTAATACAATATTATGTGGTATCTTAAAATAGAAGTAATTTAAAATAAACACTAACAGAGAAGGGTTTTAAAAACAGTCGTGGCTATATAAGAAACAGAAACATAGATAAAGGCAAGATACTATATTTTTATATATATCAGTAAATTTTACTCCCTCCATCTACTTAAAAACAAATTTATGATTTCTCATAATATCAATATTCAGATCTAAAGAGATATGTAATAAATATTTGGTGATCATTTATAGCTGAGAAAAAAATGCACGGACAAAACAATTTTAAAATCCTATCAGGTAAGACACTGCACTGCAATCGTAAAGGCATGCTGCTTCAACAGGGAAGGATGGGCAGTCTCCTCTCATGTGATTTACTGCCTCTGAAAATCCATTGGAGTGTCAGTTATGGGTCAATTCTGACTAGATGACACAACACCAACAACAATTAGAAGAAATTAAGCAGTTTTTCTTGGTAAGACTAAAATAATGATACTCTGAAAAAGTGCCACTGAGAAAACTTTTAAAAACAGTAATAGTATAAACATTTACAAAAGGAAGAAAATGATCAAAATATATAAGAATACTGATTATGTAATACAAATATTTTTATAAGTTTCTTGCATTTAGGGTGTGGCATTAAGATCACTAGAAAATATGTTGTGCAAAAACAGTGGGGAAGAAAATGGAAACATTCCTAATGTTTTAATTCTTCCTTTCCCTAGCTCCATTTCTGCTTTTCATCATTCTTGTTAACAGCAGAAACTTGCCTTCTCTCACATCCTTACTCAATAATCCTCATCTCCTGACCACCTTTTTGTCTCCTAAGTCCTAATTCTTTGTTTCAAATCCAGCTCAAATTGGATGATTGCCTCTCAGACCCCAGCCTCAGCACTGGCTTTCCCAGGCACATGCAAGAGACTCTGTCAATGACTCACGCAGTTCAGGCTGTCTTACCCCAACTGTCAGGGTTTCTGAAAAGAATGAGTCCCAAGAAGGTGACTTACAGAAGGATATTTGTAACACAACCTGGTCTTAATATGGATACTTATTTATAAAAATACAAATTCAGTGTCCAAAGATAAAAATGAATCACAACCAAGGATATCCAAAAGAATGTGGGAAGGACTGAGAACAAAATTTCAAGAGATCCTAAAAACATTTTGAGTGGTATTAAAAAAGACCAGATTTACTGGTCTTGACAGAGACTGGTAGAACTCCCAAGACTGTGGCCTTTAGACACCCTTCAAACCTAAATTGAATGCACCTCTGAGGATCATCTTGCAGTCAAACAACAGACAGGCCTATAAAGTGAACAATAACAGTCACAAGACCAGAAAGGCAGCCTCTGCCTAAAAATAAAGCTTGGAGGCAGCAAACAAGGGACAGGAAGAAAAGAGGAAACACATAAACAGGGAGGAACAGGGCAGAGGGCTGTGGACATTGTGGGAATTGCAACTAACATTGAGACTAAATGGGTATAAATTGTTGAATGGAAAAGTAATTTGCTCTGTGAACTTTTACTAACATCACACACACACACACAAACACACACACACACACACACGTCTGCTTAATGATACAAGGGTTAGCATTTAGTCGCACAAGATTGTTTTTAATAAAAGAAAACACCTACTACACCCCCCCAGCAAATTTTAGTACTTCTGTTTAAAAAAAGTACACCTTACTTAACACTTAAAAAGTCATTCATTCAACATCTAAATGAATGAGTGACTCTGAATAATGCAGGAGATTAAGAAGAAAGAAATACTTCTTTTTTCCTTATCTCATAAAAATCAATCTGTCTTCACTTCTTTGAAGTGTCAACAGGGGTAGAAGAGAAGACAAAGTATCCACATCATTTTAGGCCTCATTTTGCCAGAAAATAAAGCAGCTGATATAAAGCAGTTAACACTGTGACAGAAAAATGAGGATTCAAATTCTGGCCCCACTACTTATCTGACCATAGACAAATTACTTAATCTCCTAAGTCTGTTTCTAGATCTTTAAAATGGGAATAAACAACATAATCTCACAAGACTGCCAGGGGAATGAAATGAGATAACATGTGTGCGTTATCTACTGAGATAAGGCTGGCTAAGCACTCTTTACTTGATGATTCAGGTCATATACTCTGTATCCAGACAGTCAAGAAAATGAAAACTTGGGTCTTTTAAGAGATTATTTTGCCAAAACTGGAGCTCAACTGACCATAAAATGTCACAATAATAAACATACATCATTCAGATAATAGATACTTAAAGCATGGTTTGAGTGGAAAGGAAAATTATGATACAGCATTAAAATGCACTCATCTCTGCTGAGTTAAAAAAAATCATATTAAGAGACTATCATCCTGACTATAAATCTACTGGAGGTTAAAAATACTTACATCTGCATAATTCGAAGATCCTTTTTAGAAAACAAGTATAATGCTAGTATAACTTTCATGTTAACACATTTTTTATAGGAAGAATAATTCTCTAGAGATAATACAATTACATCTGCCTGTTCATCAACATCTGCCTGTTCATCAACAGTTTAAACCGTGACAAAAACATTTAATACATCTTATCAGAACTTGTACTTGACATGGTTTCAGTTTTAATTTAGGGAGAAGTTGTTATATTCCAACAACACTGTCAATTTCTGAAACATGTCTCTGAATAAAAATATTTAAATGTAGATTATAAAAAGAACTTTTACTATTTTATAGTACTACTTCATAAAATTTGTGAGGTTAACAATAGAAATAATTTTAGTTATTAGCATTACTTTCTTCAATAAGTACTTTTAAAATTTTAGTCATTTTATTTCTAGTATTTATAAATTTAGATACACATATATACTTAAATGCACATATACACACATTTTTAAAAAAGCAATGTGATGCGAGAGATTGTAACATGGAGTGTGAGTAGTATGAATGTAATAAAACTAGAAGAAATGGAACTGATAAATATTGACAGACCAGGCACTGACAAATAAAATGGACTGACATGGGACATTTTGAATCAATCTTATGATCTACTAAGTTGGACATGAAAAGGTGAGGAAAAACGTGGTTGCATTCATAGTTAAAAAGACTATTTTTATATCCATCCTGAAATACAATGTCATAAGTTACAGGATAATATACAAAGAAGACTTGCTAATGCCACTAACATTCAAATTTATGCACCAATTAGAGCCAAAAAGGAGGAAATAGATGACTTCTACAACTGTTACAATTGGAAATTCGATCAAACTTGTAACCAAATACATTAGTAATAATGGGTGACTGGAATGCAAAAATTGGTAAGAGAGAAGACAGCTCAGTAGTCAGGAAACAGGGAGTGATGACAGAAATGAGGCTGGAGACAGAATGATAGACTTCTGTACAATCAATGACTTATTCACGGCAAATACCTTTTATAAGAAACACAAATTATGATTATGCACATGAACCTCCTATGATGGCATACACAGAATTTAGAATGATTACATCTGTGGGAAATATCACTGGAGCTAAGTATCAGCTGTGCAAAGTAGTCCAGGTGCTGATTGTGGACCAGATCATCAACTCCTCGTATGCAAGTTCAAATAAAGCTAAAGAAGGTTAAGTCAAATCCACAAGAACCAAAGTTTGACCTTGAATCTACCCCTCTTGAATTTAAAGATCATGAGCGAATACCAGATGAGCTGTGGGAAGGTATAGATCCATGAAGAATGCAAAAGACCAAGATGGATGTCAGAAGAAACTCTGAATATTGCACTGAATATTGTCGTGAAGCCAAACCAAAGGGAAGAAATTAAGAAGCTAAAGAGTTGAGCAGAAGAAGGGCAGCATGGGAAGACATAGCAAAGTATAATGAAATGTGCAAAGAGTTGGAAAATAAAAAAAGATTAGGCATTTCTTTTTAGGCTTAGGCTGGAGGAACTGAAGAACAAATTCAAGCCTTGAGTTGCAATACTTAAGGACACTGTAGGCAGAATGTTGAATGACCCAGGAAGCAGTAAGAGAAGGAGTACACAGAATCACTACACAAAAGATAAATGGCTGACACAAAAGAATCTCATGAAACAACATATGATCAAGAGGTGATGGTGAGGAAGTTCAAACTGCTCTGAAGGAATTGGAAAAAAAAATAAGGGCTCAGGAATTGACAGCATACCAACTGACATATTTCAATAAGCAGATGCTGCACTGGACATGCTAACCTGGACATTCTGGTTGTCCCAAGGAATCTGGAGGACAACTGGAAGAGAGACATATTTATTCCCAAAGCAAAAAAGGGTTACCTGACAAGAGTGCAGAAATTATCAAACAGTATCATTAATATCACAAGCAAGAAAGATCCTGATGAAGATAATTAATAAAAGACTGGAACACTGCATCAACAGAGAACTGCCAGATGTGCAGGCTGGGTTTAGAAGAGGCTGTGGCACTGGAGATATTATAGACAATGTTATTTGGCTCTTAGCTGAAAGCAGAGAATAACAGAGGAAGGTCTATCTGTATTTCATTGACAATGGAAAGGCACTTGACTGTGCAGATCAAAACGAAATGTAGCTAACCTTAAGAATGGGAATCCCAGAACACCTGATTTTGCTCATGCAAAACCTATACTTGGACTAGGAAGCAGCTATAAGAACAGAGCAAAGAAACACTGCATAGTTCAAGATATGAAATGTGTACACAAGGGATGCATCATATCTATATATCTTTTCAATCTATATGGAGAACAGATCATCCGGGAGGCTGGATTTTTTGAGGAGGAATGTGAAATCAGGATAGGAGAAAAACTCATCAACAACCTGCTTATGCAGATGACACAACCTTGCTTACTGAAACTGAGGAGGACCTAAGGTGTTTGCTGCAGAAGGTCAAAGACTGCAGCCTTCAATAAGGATTGAAGCTTAGTAACAAGAAAACAAAGAGTCTCACCACTGGGGCTATTGGCAGCATCATGATAGATGGAGAAGCGACTAAGATTGTTAACAGCTTCAGCTTGCATGACTCCACAATCAACACTCTTGGCACTAACAGTCAGGAAATCAAAAGACAAACTGCTTTAGGAAAATCTGCTATCAAGGACCTCTCCAGAGCACTGAAGAGCAATGACATCAGTCTAGAGACTAAGGTGTGCCTAATCCAGGCCATGGTCTTCACAATTACTTGCCATGTATTAGAGAACTGGACAATGACTAAGGATGACAGAAAAAGAATCGATGCCTTTGAATTGTGGTGCTGGAGAAGAATACTGAATATACCATGGAATATTAAGAGAACAAACAGGTCTGTTCTTGAGAGGGTGAAACCAGCCTGCTCCGTGGAGGCAAGGATTCTGAAGCTCCATCTGACATACTTTGGGCATGGTACACAGAGGGACCAATTCCTGGTGAAGGACATAAGGCTTGGAAGGGTGAAGGGACAGAGCAAGAGGAAGACTCTGGATGAGATGGATTGATTCTGTGACTGGGGTAATGGGGATAGGTGTGTTGGAGACAATGATATTGGCTCAAGGTAAAGCAAGATTCAGAGTTGTTGCATATATAGGGTTGCTAGGAGTCACAAGTGACTCGATGGCACATAACAACAACAACAATAATTATTAGCAATTGTGAAATACTTAGCTTCATATTCTAGCAGAAATATATAATAAGCTTTATAATAAAAAGTATTATAACTTTGTCATTGTTGTCAATAAACCTGTATGAATTTGGTGATAGAGTAAGAGAGAGCTCATATAAAGACTATATAGAAGTAGTTCCGTGGTTAAGTTTTTTGCTATTCTAAATCAGTAACACTTTGGTCTATTTTAGTTTCTTATCAATAGTTAATCCATACCTGCTGGTGCTGCTGCCATTACAGTTAGAGCTGCCATTGACTTGGTACCTATATAGTGACTTTTTACAAGGAATCTGGCTAATTCCAAAACTGTGTCAAATGGTTGGCTTAACACTTTCTGGGCCCATTCACACACAAGACGGCAAGCAGAAGAGATAACTTCTTCATCAATATTTTGAAGCTGCCCAGAAGGTTCAGCTCCTTCCAACTAAACAAAGGGAAGAGAAAAAGTTAACTTTTAAAGAATAATTGAAAGAGATTGTCAATTCACGCACATTTAATTAAGAGATGGAATATAAATCTACTGCGTTGAAGTAGTATGATGTGACATACAGGCATTTATTTTATACCAAGGCAAACCCACTGTTACCAAGTTGATTCTGACTCATTGCAACCCTACAGGACAGAGCAGAACCACTCCATAGGGCTCCTTAGCTATAAATCATTAGCAAAGCAGAATGTAGCATCTTTTCCCCTTGCAATGGCTGGTGGATCTAAACCACTGATTTTTTTGGTTGGCATCTGGGCAGTTTAACCACTGCACCATGAGGTGGGCATGGAGAGAGTTTAAAGGGTGGGGTAAGCAGGTAATATTCCAAAACAAAAATTCATTGTCAGTGAGTTGGTTCCAATTCATAGAGATCCGTCAATTCAGTTTCTGAAGCTGTAACTCTCAATGGGAGAAGCCTTCATTATTCTGAGGCACGACTTCGGAGTTCAAACTACTGAACTTTCAGTTAGCAGCCTACAACCTTACCCATATCTGGGCTATTTCCGAGTATATTAGAGCCTTGCAGATAAAAGTCCCATATCTACCTGTGCACAGTCAAGTACAGCACTTTCAATATAGCACATGAAAAGGTTTTCATACATGTGAAACGATGGACAGACTTAAGTCTAAAATTCATTCATTTTGGCAAGCTTTGGTGGCCTAGTGGCAAGAAATTGCACTGCAATCCCAGAGGTGCACGGTTTGAATCCACCAGATGCTCTGCTGGAGAAGGAGGGACAATCTCCTCCTGTAGCTGTCAGATCTGATTTGATGCTAAACACACAATAATAATAATAATAATTTTAAAAAATTTAATAAAAAAAATAAAAGTTTTATTAATAGCATTAACAAATTATATTACTAACCTGGTTTTTGTTTCTGTGCCACTAACCTATATTTTCTCTCAAAATATTCATCGTGCACTTAAGGCAACTTATTGTTTGCCTCCTGACAACCTATGATGGAAATATCTATAAAACAGCAATTTTAAATCTTTGTTTCCTCTATTATCACCAGCCATATTAACGTTGTAATCAAATATAAGGTTTCATTCAGTCCAAATATATGGACTCTTAGCTGTTTATCTACATTGGGACAGTTCTGGTCCTATCTCTGATCAAAATAAAACTATGCAGTATAAAGGTACAATTAGTTATTATAAAGGAATGACAGAGGTCTTACCCCATCTCCAGTTTTGTGAAAGTCAAGGTTGGGCAGTGTTGGCATATGAACAAGAGCTTTTTTCCTTAATCCACTGTAGCAATATGTAACAAAGAGTTAAGGTCTAAAATACATGAAATGAGATATACACACATGCATACTTTGTATATATTTTGCATTTAAGACCTTCCCACTATGAAACGAGAGTAAAATTAGGATATTTACTTTCTGAATTTTCCAGTAAGAAAAACATTAATATTAGACAGCTTACTCTTTTGAAACCAGAATGATCACTGCAGAATGTTACTGTCTCAAATGGAACTAAATTATTCTCATCTGTTATAAATTTTATGAATAAATGTTCCTAAGAGGCTGTGCCAGCCACCAGTAACAAACAGGTCAGAAGGAAAGGAATAGTCAGATGGAAACCTGGCACAAAGAAGGGAAACTTTAGCCCAGGGCACTGGGACAAAAACAACTCTTAAGAGTGTCACAAGGGCTTTAACCTTTTCATTTCTCTTTTTCCACTGAAACACACAGGATTATCGCCTGTAACATGCCAAAGACACATCAAGGCATTTGTGTTCTATTCAGGAAACAAGGGTAGGTCACATAACAAACTGGTGAAGAACAACTGGAACCATTTTAGAAAAGTGATCTTCCTTTCCCCATCCCTTCATTTTCTCCACAGTAGCCAATTTCATGCATTGAGAAAGATCAAGTGATAAGTACAGAGAAAAAGACTTTGTTTTAATCTGATACAGAGATAGTCTATTGTATATTCTTTCTTGAAGAGTTGAAAGGAGTTCAGTAAATTCTTAATTTTAATTCCCTTACTCCTGTATGTGTTGTGTACTTCCCTCTTTTAAGTGAGGCCTTTTTTACATTCTGGCTTTAATTTTAATACTGGCATTGAGAGTTGGCTAAAAAAGATTTTAAAGAGAATACAAATATTTCAGTAAAAATTCCACAAAATATATTTTGGAATCCTCTATTTTTACTTTCCTAAGGACATCATAATGTTTTAAGAGAAAAAAAAGAAGCATAAAACTAACAGCTTTCTCTTCTTTTATTCAGATAATTTACAGTTGCTGAAGTCTAAAGCATGTCTTAAAAATGCTTACTGTTAAAGAATTTTCACACCATTAAGTAACACATTAGAGTGATGAATAAGATGAAACCTGTTGAAATTCTAAAATATAACTAAACTATTATTTGCTATTTCTCTTGTAGTTTATTTAGTGTACAGCTGGAAAAACTGGGCTTACAATTACATTACTAAGTACTTTGAGTTGCTTGTATTTGTTATTTTAAATATTTATTTCTAAATATAGTTGCTCTACAACACCACCAGCTGTTTTATAATAAGTGAGAACTAAAGAGATTACTACAGCTTTTCTGGTGAAGGATATTTAGATTTGCCTCTTGTGCCCAGGCGACGTGCCTTCATATTTGGAAAGACATTTTTCATTATCTTTCCAAAGTCAGCAGCACTTAACGGATGGTAACCAAGATTGTCACAATAGCTCCTGCAAAAGAAGAAGGGACCAATTTACAGAGGAACACAATAGATAGCATGTACCTACTTCAACGTAACTGATAAATTTGACAAAGTGAAGAAAAAGATCTGTAAGTCATTCACCACAATTTTATTTGTGTACCATCTTTTTTCCTTCCAAATTTCATTTTGTTAAGAACAAGCATAGCAAATACACACCAATCCAACAATTTTCAACATGTACAATTTAGTGGCAATGATTACATTCTTCAAGGTGGGTAACCATTCTCACTCCTTTTCTGAGCTGTTCTTTGTTAACAGAACTATGGTTCCTACCTAATATTTTGCTGTGCTGTTGTCAATTTACTCCCACACAATTTTTAAAAGAACACAATGCTCTCAACAGAAAATTTTTCAACTTTAAGATAGCTTCATTTTCCATTTTAAGATGCCTTCAAATTATATTTTTATTTCAAGGTTTAAAGATTGTCTCAGGGTAATAGTTTTAGCATACATCTACCTTCTATTGACTCCAGAAAATCTACAGTTCATGAAAATTTTAAATTATGTTCCACATTTCCCCACTTCTGATCACTATTCTTCTATGGAATCTATGATCAAGTGTTCAGTGAGGATATCTGGACACATAATCATCAATTATTTTGGCCATTTGATAAAGGATGCAGTTGTTCATGGAGACATAAACATTCCATATCTTCCTCATTGTTCACTGTCCTCCTTCCTCTACTGCTTCAAGTGATTACAGACTAATTGTGCATGAGAAGGTGGTTTGCAAGCTTTTAAGACACAAGAACAGAAGTGACTAAACACTTTGTGTCCCTCAGAACTATGACCCTGAACTTACAAACCAAAGAACCAAACCCATGAGGTGTTTGGTTGTACATTATTAGCTTTAGCTCACTATCTCTTTTTGTCATTACTGTAAATAGATCTGTCATACAACTTATGCAAATTCTATTTATTTTTTTTTACAGATGTAAAATTTTGGCAGCAATTAGCATAATTAGCTATGCTACTCTAACCAATACAGTTTTCAGCATTAACCTACTTTCCTCACTCCTAGTAAGCACTAATAAAATTTGTTCTCTATATATTTGCATTTTCTTGTCTTTTTTATGTAAGTAAGGACATATAATATTTGTCTTTTTCGATTGGCTTATTTTGCTCAGCATAATTCATCAAGCTCCATCTATACTGTAGGCAAGCAAAAAGACTTCATTTCTCCTACTAAGTAGCACTCCATTATCTGGATGTGATAATCACTTTTTAAAGAAAAGAGTTAACTCAGGTTTAGTTAGCTGGTTTAATCTTCACTGTATACAATACTATTTCGACAGAATTCAATAATTTATACTAAGACATAATGATGATACAAAGCTTTACAATCCCAACATATATTCTAATAGGAGTATATCCAGCTCATCCAGAAGGCTCTAAGTTTGTATCTCTATATCTCTCTATCCATCCATCTATCTAATTATACTATGGAGACAACACTATTACATGGTTTGAAATGAAAACCCAATATTATAGAATTAAAAAAAACCTTGTTGTTATGTATCATTGAGTCACCTGCAACTCATAGTAACCTGATGTAGAACAACAGCTCTGAAGTCTGCTCTATCCTGAGCCAGTCTCACTGATTCTGTCACATCTACCCCCATTACCCTAGTTACTTATCAATCCATCTTATGTGGGGTCTTCCTCTCCTGTGGGGTCCCTCCACTCTTCTAAGCATGATGTCCTTCTCCAAGGCTCGTCCTCTCCTGGCCATATATACAAAGTATGTAAGACAGAGCTTAAAAATCTTAGCCTCCAAGAAGAAACTTGGTTTCACCCTCTTCAAGACACCTATTTGTTTCTTACCTCACATAACCAACCCCTCTTCCTCAATGCCATCAAGTTTGTTCCAGATCATAGTGACCTTACTTCTCGTTGTTGATTGCCATCAAATTGAGTACAACTACTAGCGACCCAATGAACAAAAGACCTGAAGACTTTCTGTAACTATTGTTTCTCAAAGTTCATAGAGTTTTCTAAATCATGTTCTTTAGGAAGTGGATGTTACTCTACAGGTTTTCCAAGGCTATAATTTTACAGAAGCAAATGGACACATTTTTCTTTCAAAGAGCAACTGATGGATTCAAATGCTGACCTTTTAGTTAGCAGCTGGGAGCTTTAAATATTCCACCACTAGGTTTCTTAACCTCTAGTCATAACAGGAAAAGAGTAGTCCGTAAGGCAGTGATTTCAAATGGGTTGATGATAGTAAGTCAAGAGTTTTAAGTACGACTGGAACCAGGTGTGTTCCTCCTCAGGGTTGTCAATCAAAGATAAAAAGCCAATCCCTCTTCAATAAAAGTTCAACAAACTAAGGCCATTCTGATTACCAAGACCATCCTCATAATTATTGACTCTTTTTTAAAAAAATTCTTTTAAATTTTATTTTATTATTTAATGCATGTGTACCGTCAAATTGGATCTGACTGGTATAGAAGGAGATTGTCCCTCCTTCTCCAGCAGAGCATCTGGTGGATTTGAACCGTGTACCTCTGGGACTGCAGTGCAGCTTCTTGCCAGTAGGCCACCAGAGCTCCCTATAATTACTGACTTTTAGGGGGTGTCACTACTTAGGAGATACCATGGAAGAGGACATCACATGAGCTCTGTTGTAATAGTCACACCCCCTCCCTCACCCAACCTTCAATTTAGCACCAATCAGAGCAGCTTTTCCCCAAACAAGTCATGAGACGAAATGCAAAAGGGAAAGAATTTAAGAAAAGGGTGGAGGGAGAAAAGGGAAGATATGATGAACAGAGTATAATGATCACTGGGAATTGGGTCCCGCACACTGTTGAATAAATATCCCGAACACATTCCTTGTGACCTAAACTTACGAAATCTAAGTGACAGAGTCTCAGAAAGAGAAATGGGGCTTTGGGTCGCCTTAATACAAAGGGAATGGGACTAGCCCTGCGTGGCCAGAGATAGTGGCCCTTCTGCTTTCCTTTCCCTTTAGGGGGAAGAGGACATGGAATGAGGCATATCAGTGCTGTTGGATGGATCTTGGCTGAAAGTACGGACTACAGGAAAGATGTTTACCTGTGCTTTATTGACTGTGCAAACTTATTCAGCAGTGTGGATCCTAACAAATTATGGATAACAGTTTAAAAAAAAGAGAATTCCAGAACACTTAATTATGTTCATATGGAACCTCATATATGCAGATCATGAAGAAACTGTTGCATGATTTTAAATCAGGAATGATATAAGCCAAGTTTGTAGCATTTCACTGTATCTATTCAATCTGTATGCTAAGCAAATAATTTCAGAAGTTAGACTTCATGAGGAAAAAAATGTGTCATCAGGACTGGAAGACTCATGAGTAACCTGTGAGAAGATCTAAGACTTTAGTTTTTTGTTTCTTTGGAAACAAAGAAAACAGGAATCCTTACAACTGAACCAGAAAATGGCACGATAAACACAGAAATGTCAAAATTGTCAATCATTTCATTTTACTTGTAGACACTATTAGTGCCCACAAAAGCAGCAGTTAAAATATCAAATGATGCACTTGGCAAATTTGCTGCAAAGGACCTCTTTAAAAATCAAAGATGTTACTTTTATTTTTCCAGTTTTAAAATTGGTATTCGTTCATTTACTTTCCTCTCAAAGATGTCACTTTAATGACCAAGGTGTTTAAGTTAAAAAAGAGACTAAAGTGTGCCAGAGCCAAGCTATGGCATTTTGAATTGTTTCATATGCATTTATAAGTTGGATAATAATCAAGGTTGATCAAGAACAAATTTGATGTCTTCGAATTGTGGTGGTGTTGAAAAATATGGAATATACAACATAGACTGCTGTCAAAGAGACAGCATGGAAAAGACATGGAAGCACGGGGCCATAAATATCTCTCTGAAAGGGCCAGAGAGAGTGAGAATAGTACAGCTTCTCACCATTCTAGAGCAGAAAGCAGGTAAAGAGCCTGTAGCACAGCCCCAAAGTGCCTCCGGAAACACATCAGCAGCAAGAGGTTCATTTATTCATTGTTGACTCAGCAGATTTTATTCGCAGCTGTGGTATTGAGAATGGGATTTATTAGGGAAATAAGTTAGAGTGGGGGAGGCAAAGAGTATCAATTAATGTAAATCCAGGTTTAGTCCAAGAGACCCAAGCTAGATTAACAGCAAAACATAATTCCTTAAATACTAAAAGTCTTGGTTTCAATTCAGCAGTCAAAAACAAATCATTCATCAAGGTTAGACTCAATTAAGTCAGCTTCTTCCATCAACTGGCAAGACCAGCAAAAGCCTTTGATTATGGGCTTTATCTGAGGGCTCTTCTAGTTACATGTTGCCACAGTTTCAACACAGCAATGCCACAGTCTCTCTATCACCATCACCAAAGTCTTGCCACCAGAGTAGGGCGCCTATCTGCCTCAAGTCTTGCAGTGTGGGAAGCACCCTCTCGCTTAACCTAGTCCCACAACTACTGATGATTTTCAAGACCATGTGTATGCATGCAGTAATGGCTAAAACAGCTGACTTTACGCTAGCATCACAACTGCTAAAACAGCAAACAATTTTGTTTTGAAACAAGTCAAGCCAAAATGTTCCTTAGAAATGAGGAACATGATATTTCCTCTCACATACTTTGGCCATGCTATCAGGAGGGTGCCAACCTCTGGAGAAAAACCATCATACTTAAAGAGTCAATGAAAAAGAGGAAGACCTATAACTAGACCGACATACTTGCTGCAACAAATGAGCTTAAGCACAGGGACAATTAGGAGGATGGTGGATGAATGGACCTTGTTTTATTATGTTGTTCATAGCTTTTCTATGAGCTGGAACAGACTTGATGATATCTAACAACAATTTATAATTATATAACAGTTAATTCACTTGTTTGTCTCCTCCAATCCCATTTAAACGTCCCATCTTTGAGGAAATATGCTCATTCAACATATTAGCACAACGGTGAACAGGAAAAAGAGACGTGGCACTA